AAGAAAATTAAAACAAGTCCACGAGAGCAAAAATATGATCGTGAGCATATCCCACCTGAATTTAGAGACCATCTCAAGAACAGATTTGATGCATTAGACACTAAAAACTGAAGACCAAAAGAGTTGTGGGATGACATCAAGAACGTCATAGAGGAAGAAAACAAAAGGTCATCGAAAAGACAGGGAAGAAAAGACCAAAAGAGGAAATCAGAAGAGACCTGAAACTTGCTTTTGAGCATAGAGAAGCTATTATAAGGAAATACACAAGGACCTGGAGTTAGAAAACCAAAATGCTCAGCATTTCTCAAGGTGAAAGAACTGAAGGAAAAATTCAAGCCTCAACTGATATGGCATTGCAGGATAAGCATTGGATTGTAAACCACAAAGTCGGTAGTTCAAACCCACTGGCAGTTCATCGAAAACCCTAAACAGGGTCCCTGAGTCAGAAGCAACTCAACAGTACTTAACAAAAACAAATGGTCATATTAACTTATCAGAAAGCACCAAAAGAAGATTAAAAGTATACACAGAGTTACTGAACCAAAAGGAAATGTTCAACGTTCAACATTTCAAGAGGTTCCATAGGATCAAGGACTGATGATACCGAAGTGTCGGGAGCCAGCACTGGTGCCATCTAATGGTGAAGGTTGAGATGGCCTTCATGCTTTTATAATTGGCCTGAAGACAAGTTTCACCTGGTTAAGGTGATGTCAGCGATCAGGACTTATTGTTAATTGTAACTAGGACAATCCTGGGAAAAGGAACTTAAATTGAGCTAAAATCGCGTGATTCTGTGTTGCTATAACAATGTTTATACTTATGTAATCAGATCCTGGTTGGTATCCTGGTGGGTAATCATATCCTTGTTACTATAGAAAACATTGTAACTAGGCAGAATAACTATGACCTAATGCTAAAAGTCCTATATAAACCACGCTGCTACAATAAACTATGTCACTGGCCATCAGCCTGTTGATCCTTATCTGATTAATTAATCCTCGCCTCTCCTTCGAGTAACCCACGCAGTGGTCTGAGCCGGTCTCAGACCCTGATACCGAAGGAAGTCCAAGCTGCACTGAAGGCATTGGCAAAGAACAAGGCTCCAGGAATTGGCAAAATACAAATTGAAATCTTTCAACAAACTGGTGCAGTACTGGAGGCATTCACTCATGTATGCCAAGAAATCTGGAAGGCAGCTACCTGGTCAGCTGATTGGAAGAGATCCAGATTTATACCCATTCCAGCAGAATGTGCAAATCATCTAACAATATCCTTAATATCATATGCTAGTAAAATTTTACTGAAGAGAGTTCAAAATCAGCTGCAATAACTAGCACATTGATAGGGAACTGTCAGAAACTCAAGCCAGATTCGAAGAGGACGTGGAACTAGGGATATTGCTGACATTAGCTGGATCTTGGCTAAAAGCAGAGAATACCAGAAAGATATTTACTTGTGTTTTATTGACTATGCAAAGGCTCTGACTGTGTGGATCATGGCAGACTATGGTTAATATTGTGACGAATGAGTATTCCAGAACACTTAATTGTGCTCATGAGGAACCTGTACATAGACCAAGAAACAGTAGTTCGAACAGAACAAGGGGCTACTGAATAGTTTAAAGTCAGGAAATGTACACCAGGGCTGTATTTTTTTCACCATACTTATTCAACCTGTCTGCTGAGCAAATAATCCAAGAAGTTGGGTTCTATGAAGAAAAACGTGACAACAGAATTGGAGGAAGACTCATTAACAACCTGCAGTATGCAGATGATACAATCTTGCTTGCTGGGAGTGAAGAGGACTTAAAATACTTACTGATGAAGACAGCTATCTAGCCAACTAATTGTAAGAGATCCCTAGCTGTATACATTCCAAAGAGAGTTGACCCAACAGAATATGGAACTCATCTAACAATATCATTAGCCTTCAGTATAGATTGCACCTCAATATAAAGAAGACAAAAATGTTCATCACTGGACCAATAACATCATGATAAATGGAGAAAAGATTGAAGTTGTCCAAGACTTCATTTTGCTTGGATCCACAATTGACATTGTTGGAAGCAGTAGTCAAGAAATCAGCGATGTGTTGCATTAGGCAAACCTGCTACATAAGAACAAAATTATCAATCTGAGGACTATGGTATTTTTAATAACCTCATATGTATGTGAAAGTTGGACAATGAATAAGGAAGAACATAGTAGAATTAATGCATTTGAGTTATGGTGTTGAAGGAGTATATTAAAAGTACCGTGGACTGCCAGAAGAACAAAGAAATCTGTGTTGGAAGAAATACAGTCAGAATGCTCCTTAGAAGCCAGGATGGTGAGACTTCCTTTCTCATACTTGTGGCATGTTATTAGGAGAGATCAGTCCTTGGAGAAGGACATCATACTTGGTGAAGTGGAGAGTCAGCAAAAGTAAGGAAGACATCCAAGGAGATTAACACAGTGGCAGCAGTAATCAGCTGAAACGTAACAACAATTGTGAGGATGGCACAGGACCAGGCAGTGTTTCATTCTGTTGTGCACAGCGTCACTAGGAGTGGGAACCAACTGGTGGGAGAGAGAGGCAAAGAGAGATTAACAGTGACTCCACCTTCTTTTCAAAGCTTCCTGCTTCAATTTTAGTACTTCCGGAATCCTTCCACCTTGCAAACTGAGTCTTGAATTTTTCTTGACTTCCTCCAACCTGTGAAGTGCTGGGTGTGTTGTGGGCCTCCTTTGGACTTTTAACTCCAGGTTAAACTTATCATTAGACTTGACTTGGTCTTCTCAAGCTGCCCTTTGACAATTCCTGTTCAGCTCTTTCAGTTCATCATTTCTTCCATTCACTTTAGCTGCTCTTCATTCAAAAGTAAGTTTCAAAGTCTCTGATGACACCTTGTCTTTTTTTTTTTTTTTTTCCTGATCATTTTAATGATTCTGATATATATATAGTTGGTTGGTGGTTATGTGCCGTGGAGTTGGTTCCGACCCATAGTGACCCTGCACAGAGTTTCTGAGGCTGTAAATCTTTACAGGAGCAGAAAGCCTCATCTCTCTCCTGCGGAACAGCTGGTAGTTTCGAACTGGTGACCTTGAGGTTTGCAGCCCGATTTGTAACCACTGTGCTACCAGAGCTGCCAATCAAAATATAAAGCCCGTTTCCACAGAGTGGATTACACATCAACTCTACAGGACAGAGTACAAGAGCTGCATAGGATTGCCAAGGCTGTAAATCTTTACTGAACCAGACAGCCACATCTTTCTCCCAGGAAGCAGCTGGTAGATTCAAACCACTGACCTTTCAGTTAGCAGCCAAGCACTTAACCAGTGTGCCATCAGGGCTCCTTGTTATGTCTTCTACAGAGAATACTTAGCAGTGGCTTCCATCCATTCCTTCCCTTCTCCACAGCTCATACCTTTTGGCCAAGTAATTCTACCATGTCCTGCCACTCCGATTCTGCCCTTGGCTTGGAGACAGGGCACACAGCATGTCAGTGCAGGTGTGGGGCCCACTTGTAGGTCACCCTGTGCCTGCGTTGTGAACGTAATCCCAGGATGTGAGTCGCCCCAGCTGTACGGCCCAGAGGACACACAGCCCCGCTGACTCACAGTTCCAGCCCCACAAGCCGGCTGCAGACTTCAGTTCCTGGTTTGTGTGGTTTGTTGGAGCAGCAGTCTCCGTCTCCCAGCCCCAGCCAATAAATCCCATTTCCAGTGAAGCCACATGGAGTTATGATCCCAGTCCAAGGAAGATGGGCCCAAGAATGAGAACCATGGCAGTTTCCCGGCAGGTTCTATGGTCGTTTTATGCCCGGTTACAGCACATAGGAAGAGTGTGCGGACCGATGCGCTGTGAAGCTGGAGTCTTTGCAGCGTTAGATGGGTCTCCCGGCCACAGGCAGGCGACGTGGTGGCAGGACAGGTGTGGTAAGGCTGGCCGCACGTCCATCTCCAGCACATCCTTGGGGGATGGGACTTCCCGGCTGTCTGGCTTTGGCAGAGGTGGGTGCGTGCCCCGCTGGTGCCTGGGGAGCGCTGAAGATCCTGTCGTAGTACTCGATCAGTAGCTCGGTGAAGAGATTCAGGGGCACAAGCGCACTCAGCGAGGAGGCCCCCTGTGAAGGCCAGATCAGATTCAGCCCGAAGACACAAGCCAGGTTGGAGCTGGTCATCTTGTTAAACATGCTTTCCTGAGACACCTGGAAGGGAACACAGGTGAGACCGCCTGAATCGGACCTGCCCACTCCGCCTCAGTTTCCCCATCTATAAAGAGAAAGGACTGGACCCGGTGCCCTCAGAGGAGTCCACAGGCTCTGACACTCCATGGTTGGCTATCTGGGGTTTCCTCAGCCCACTACTTGTGGTGGGGACCCCAGCCCAGTGGGGAGCGTGGTTGTGTGCACTGGACCAGCCAGCAGAGGGTGCCGTGGAGAAGGCTGACCTCTACTCAGCATTCAGCAAATCATGCGTTTCCTCACAGCTATGGCTGTGTGTGCGCGTATGTGTGGTATCAGCAAGTGTGTATGTATATGAGTGTGTGTACGTCTGTGAGTACATGTGTCAGTGAGCATGAGTGTATGTGTGTCCTATTGTGTGTGTGACCATGTATGTGCCTGACAGAATGGATACAATAGGACGGGAACCCCACACCTCTGTCTCGTACCCTGGAGTAGCCCCGTGGCCCGCCTCCTTGCCAAGTTCCTGGGAAGTGCTGCCTTAGGGTGCAGGAAGCCTCCCCCCCCCCCCCCCACCAAACTGATGAAGGCCCACACATGCGCGGAGGTCAGGGCCGCCCCCTCACCGCGTGCAGGAAGCCCATGAGGTAGCTGAGGACTGCGTAGTTGTGCTCGGGCAGGCTGCGCAGGATCTGACGGCAGCGGGTCACTCGCAGGCTGCTTTCCACACCTGCAGAGGGCAGAGGGCCACCCAGCTCTGAGGACACGTGTCGGGTCCCGCTGACTTCCCACCTTGCCATGTGACCACCCTTCCCAAATCCCTTTACTACTCTGAGCACCATCTGTTCACCGCATGCCTGGAATAAAGATGACAGTGTAGGAAACCCCGTCGGCAGTTCTCTGTTACAGGATCAGGCGGGGCTCGAAAATCGGGACCCTCGGCACTCGCTAGCTATGGTGTATGGCTGTGTCTTTAGTACAACGCTAAGTCTTCCGATACCAGCCCAGACAAGTGTAGCCTGTTTGAGGCTACTCGGCGCCCCCAAGGCCCCACAGTGCACTGCAGTCGGGGAATACAGCACCAGTAAATGTCCCGGACTCTGAGACCCCACAGTGCCCTTCAGTACCCACATTCTCCCATCTGACCTCCATAGACATTCTATCAAAGCCCACCAGTCAGTAAGTGTGCTCTCAGTTTTGGCTGCAGATACACAAAGACACATACCACACACATACATAGCAGTCCTGGGCCAAGAGGGCTCTTCAGTCCACGGGGCCCCAAACCCCACCCCCCTTCAAAGGCACGACCCTTTCATTCAAACTGGACAGGCGGCTGCGATGATTAATGGCATGTATCAACTTGGCTAGACCACTATTCTCTGTGGTTTGCAGACACTGAGCTGATTGCTCTTCCGTAATGTAGTATCATGTGATCACCTTCCATTCTGTGATTGGATGTGAGCAGCCAATCCGCTGAAGAGCTAATTAGATGAAGGCCAATCCGTTTCCTTAGGGGTGTAGCCTGCGTCCGATATATCTGGGTGTTCTGGCAAAGATCTCTCAGTCCTGCATCTCACTCGTCATCCGGCTGTCTTAACCTGCACATTCTGGATTGCCCTGACACCTGGGGGCCCACAGGTTTGGGACCTGCCAGCCTTCACAAGTGCCTGAGCTATTTCCTTGAAGTCAGTCTCTCTATGCATATTTATGTGGGAGTAAGATGGGGCTTTCTGCACCCGCTAAGATTTACAGCCTCAGAAGCCCTATCCAAGTTCGCTATGGGTAGGAACTGACTCTTAACTCTATGGTACTGAACAACAGCAAACAACACGTACACTTTGTATGTATGTTCCACTGGTTTTGCAAGTACAGAGAACCCAGACTGAGACAGGTATAGAGGCAGTAGAGTTCATGGAAACTCCACCATCCCTGTCTGTGCAGGGAATACACTCAAATCCCAGAGGTAGATTTCTCCTCTGAAAGTGTCAAAAGTTGTATGTATGTAGCTGCACAGTTACATGTATGCCAAGTATATAACTACTTATATGCCAAGTACTCACTAATCAACACACTGATGACGTTTCAAAATGCAGTTTCTATATCAAATGCATAGAAACTGTATCAAATACACAAGTCCTGGTATAGCGCTGCAGGATAATGCACCAGACCGCAACGTCGACGTTTCACATCCACCACCTGCTTCTCAGAAGCCCTATACAGGGTCGCTATGAGTCAGAACCAACTCAACAACACTTAACAACAACAACATATGTCAAATGCATGTCTGTTGTGCGCCGTCAAGTCAATTCTGACTCTGTGACAGAGAACTGCCCCACGGGGTTTCCTAGGCTGTCATCTTTATAGACGCAGAGCTCCAGGTGTCTCCTCCCTTGAAGACACTTGGTTGGCTTGAACCACCAACATTTCAGTTAGCAGTTAACTGTTACCCACGAGATGGGGGGTGGACACCAGGCTCCCCATCCAAGAGTGGACATGCTGGTCCTTACTGGTGATCTCAAGGATCTGCTCATAGGCCTCAAAGGTCAGCAGTGGTTGAGGCAGTTCCCGGAGAAAAGTCTTCAAGATCACAGCAGGGACGTGGATGTTCCCATAGTCATCAAAATTCACGGGCTTCCCTGCACACAGAAGACAATGAGGGATATGGAGGTATGAACGTGGGGAGAATCAGAGCAGCTTCCTGAAGGCTTGAACTATATCCCCCAAAATATGTGTCACCAGTGGTTTGGCTTGATGGTGTCGTTAAGTGCTGTTGAGTTGGTTCCAATCCATAGGGACCCAAAGCGACCTTGCAGTCGAGGGCTTATCCTACAGCACCACACCAGGACTCCGGTGGTTTGGCAGTTGCGATGTCATGTGGCAGTCATGTGTGGTTGCCCAGGATGTGATCGGATGTGATAAACCAATAAGAGGATGAAGGGTGGGCTGCAATGCCCTTAATCCCATCATAACCCTGATCTGATGTAAAGGAATTTTCCAGGTGTGGTCTGCAACACCTTTTATTTTACAAGAGATCAAAGGAGAGAAAGGTAAGAAGACCAGGAAGGACCCACTATCACCAAGAAAGAGCTCAGTGTGAGCATGTCCTTTTGACCTGGGGTCCCTGGGCTGTGAAGCTCCCAGATCCCCAGGAAGATGGATGCCAAGACACATGGAGATCAGCAAGGAATGCTGGGTCTGCAGATGCTGAAAGGAGACCAAGATCTTTCCCCAGCACCGGTACTCTGAAGTCAGACTTCTAGCCATCTCCTCTGTGAGAGAATACATTTCTGTTTGTTAACGCCATCCACTTACTAAATCCTGGTGTGGCGCAGTGGGCTGAAACTCACCAGCTACTCCGCGGAAACCCTGCATTGTTGTACAAGTGCCGTTGAGTCGGTTCTGACTCAATGAGATCCTGTATAGGTTTTCCGAGGAATGGCTAGTGGGTTTGAACTGCTAGCCTTGCTGATCCTACAGCACCACACCTGGAGTCTTAAACAAGGTCGAAATAAGTCAAAACTGATTTGACAGCGCTTAACAACAACAAGCCATCCACGTGTGGTATTTCTGCATTACAGAATGGAGACCAGCAGGATTTAAACAGGCCGAGGAAGCCAGGATGGTCGGTCTAGGCTGTGGGGCCTCTGAACTTGGGCCCTGGCGCTAGCTTTGAGATGCAGCAGGGAGAGCCTGTCCTGGGATTCCGAGTGCTAGGGACCCCTCTGCCGCCAACAGCTCAGGCCCCGCCTGTACTGAGGGTGCTGTCTTCCACCAGCACGTCCCTCCCAGGGTGCCCAGAGGAGGCAGTGAATGTGTGGGTGGTTTATTTGTTGGGATTTGTTGGCCAGCCAGCATGGCACTGGGGCATGAGGGTCGAGAAGCCTGCCCAGCAGCCAGTCCTAGCTCAGTCCCTGTCATTCGGCCTGCATCCTTGGCACCATTAATGCCCCCAGCTTTCCTGAAGGCCAGGAGTCCCTTAAGGCACAAACTACTCACTGTTCAAACCCACACAGAAGCACCTAGGAAGACAGACCTGGAGATGCTTCCGAAAGGCCGCAGCACTGAGAACCCTGTGAGCACAGTTCTACTCTGACCACATGGGGGGCGCCATCAGTGGAATCTATTTACGAAAACTCATCCACTGAGAACCCTATGAGCACAGTTCTCTGACACACACAGGGGCGCCGTGAGTATAATCTCCTTATGAAAAATCATCTATGGAGAACCTGTGAGTGGAATCTGTTTATGAAAAATCATTCACTGAGAGCCCTGTGGAGCACAGTTCTACTCTGACACACACGGGGGCACCATGAGGAGGATCTACCTATGAAAAATCATCCACTGAGAACCCTGTGAAGCACAATTCTACTCTGACACACACGATGCCCTAAGTTGAAAACTCAACAGCAACTAGAGCCCTTTTTACCCAGTTTCTGTCATTGTTATTCTGATCTTGTCACAATCTCTCAACAACTGTGGGCTCTAACTAGCCCCTCGGCCATTACTCCACAACTTCCTAGAATAGAAGCCCATTACCACTGTGTAACCAAACAGCCCTAATCACTTTGTGTCCCTCCCAGTCTGCTCCACGTGGGTGTCTACGTTTAAACTTCTCCCTTTTCCCAAGCGTAGGCACCAAAATATGAGCTGACCACCTGGTCTTCAGTGGGGGTTAACCTCAGACGCCACCCTGCCCGCCATCCAAAGGCCAACCCGCTGGGTGTTTTCCTGTCCTGGGAGCAGCTCCGTATGACCCTGTGACCAGGTTGTGGCTTCAGGATCTGTGGAGACTCCTTCCTATTTGTTTATGGGAAGAACTAGATGGTGCCCAGCTACCATGAGGGACCAATATAAAAAGCATCAAAACAGGAGGTACTGGCTAGAGTGGGAGGAAATTGTGGCCCCCAACTCAAAATCATAAAAATGACCAGGCTTACTGGTTGGCTAGAGACTGGCAGAACTCCCCCCCCCCGTCCCTCCTCACCCCCACTCCACCCCCCCCCCCACCCCCGCCCCAAGACTATGGCCCTCAGTCCCCCTTCAGGTCTGGAATGAACTCACTCCCATGGCGCAATTTTCAGCCAAACAGTAGATGGATCTACAAAGGAACCATGACACTAGGGAGGTAGTATACCTTAGACTAGTCATCAACCATCTGTGATCACAAGAGCAGCATTTACCCCAGGACCAAACCCAGAAGCGTGAGGACAGAGGAGGAATGGAAACAGGAGACAAGGAGGAAGTGGGTGAAATGATGCTACAGGGTGGGTGGGGGTTGCCATCGATGAGATGAAACAAAACGGACTTGAATTGTTGGATGTTAAACTGATACTCGGTAAACCGTCACCCAATCATAATGAAAAGTTAAAAAAATAAAATCTATTGGTTTTCTGACCACTTTCCCAGTTGAATCTGACAGACTGACCACCCAAGACCCTCTCTGAGGGACACTTCAGTATGGTCCCATGTAACCGGTAGGTGCTTGTTGAATACATACAGGGCATGGGTGATCATCCAGTAATGAGTTCACCAGGGGGTATGTCCCGGCATCGTGTTCCCCACACCTTCGGGCTGCCCCGGGGCAGAGAGGAAACTAAGAGGGCCCTGTGCTGTGGTGTGCCGCGTGACAAGAACCCCACCTTTCTGAGCATTATGCAGAAGCACATGCCTCTCCCACCTGAGTGACAAGGACCTTAACAGCAAACGGCTTTCATCCAGTGGGGTGGGGTCTGGACAGAGACCACACTCTGGTTTCTCAGTCGCTCCTGGTGGCTGCCCTCAGAGCTGCCCTCTCTCTGGGGGCTGTACCACCTCTGGTAACGGGGTTCTGAGGTCCTGCAGGGGTGGCCTTGCTAGACTGGCGGGAGGCATGGGGTATGGGCTCTTGGGGGATGGACTCACCTTGATTGTAGCGTTTCTGGATCTCTCGGATAGTCTGGACGCTGGCAGATCTCCGGAACAGGCCCTCGGTGTGCAGTCCTGTAGGGAGGAAGTTTCTCATAGTGCTTCCAGAACATTCTATGATACTCCACTAATGCAGCATCACACTCAGCCTCTGTGGCCAGTCCCTAACTGTCCCCCAAGCCCTCACCACCAGAGCCCATGCATGGTGCAAATAGTGAACATGCTCCACAAGGCTGAAGGTCCTAGTTCACACCCAGAGGTAACTAGGAAGAAGGACCTGGTGATCCAAGGCAGACAAAGACGCTGTGTTTTTCTTTTTTGTTGTTGTTGTTTTACAAATTGGAGGTCTGCGGCCACCCTGTGTGAAGCAAGCCTAATTGGCATCATTTTCCCAACAGCATTTGCTCACTTCCTGTCTCTGTGACACATTCTGGTCATCCTCACAAGATTTAAAGGTTTTCATCTTGCTATCTCACATTTACTGAAGTCCTAGTGGAGGATAAGAACTCGACCGCAAGGTTGGTTTGAACCACAAGGTCGGCAGTTCAAACTCACCAACTGCTCCTGCACAGGGTCGCTATGGGTTGGAATCGACTCAACAGCATGAACAACAACAGTTGTGTATTTACTAGACTACAGGTCATGGACACACGACTTGTATGCGCTGGGAAACCAGAGAATTCATGGGATTTCTGTACTGGGATATTCTTTCCTTGTGGTGCCCTGGCTGTGAACAGTGTTGCTGAAGCATACCTGTGTTTATGAAAAATCCACCACTGAAAACCCTAGGAGCACAGCTCTACTCTAGAGCACAAGGGGTCAGGAGATCAGCACTGACTGAGGAATTCGTTTTGCATTTTCTCATTTACATCCCAACAGCTTATAAGGCAGAAACTGCTATTGACCTCATGGGCCCAGAGAAAGTAAGTAACTGGCCCAAGGTTGCACAGCTGGTGGATTCACACCTACAGTCAGTCTAGAGCCTGGCCCCTGAACCACAGGCTGGATATCTCTCCTGTCCTGGTTCCCCTCCCTGGATGGGTTCCAGCTCCTCCAATTCCCCAGCCTGTGGGCATCAGGGCCCAGGAAGGACTCCCAGCAAGGGCATGCACCCAGCATCCCTAGTGTCCTGGGCTGAAGCGGGCCTCTCACCTTTTTCTCGCAGGTACGTCACTGTAAGCCTCAGCACTGGGGGGATGAGTTCGCCTTTATTTTTGTCTTTGAGGCTGAAGGAGAGAAAATCAAGAAACGGTGATACCTGCTTGCATGCATAGGCTCCAACCTTCTTCACACTCGTGGAAAAGTACAGGACTGAGAGCTGTCAAGACAGACATGGGCAGTCTGGTGGCCGAAAGAGAAGCAGAAATCATGAAACCAACAGTGATGTATCTGAGAGCTGCAGCCAAGCCAGCGGAGATCTAGGGGTTGGCGGGGAGGGGGAGGCTTCATAGCAGGCATCTTCTGAGATGGGTTTTGAAGGATGAATAGGAGAGAGACAAAGGCATTCAGAAGAAGAAGGTGCATAGGACGTTCATCAGTAAGTGGTTTAGGTCCTCCTCACTTCTGGGAAGTGAAAATTCACTTGAAAACTGTGTCTGGTAGTACCCCAGTATGTTACCACAGCAAGACTGGAGGAAGACTCATTAACAACCTGCGATGTGCAGATGACACAACCTTGCTTGCTGGAAGTGAGGAGGACTTAAATCATTTACCGATGAAGATCAAAGAGCACAGTCTGCAATATGGACTGCACTTCAATGTAAAGAAAACCAAAATCCTCACCACTAGACCCATAAATGACAAAGACTAAAGTTGTCAAAAACTTCATCTTGCTTGGAGCCATAGTCAACACTCATGGAAGCAGCAGTCAAGAAAGCAAATGACGTATTGCATTAGTCAAATCTGCTGCAAAAGACCACTTTCAACCCACACCTATGGATGCAGCAGCTCAAAAGAGGGAACAGGTCCTTACAGCAAGAATCATTCCCACCCACTCCACACACAGAGTAGACAGGGATGGGCAACTTGGACATTGGCTACCCAAAATGGAGGGCGGGGGGCTACAAAGGCAAGAAGTGACTGGCTTACAA